ACGTGGCCGCATGGCACTTGGATCTGCAACGGACGGTCGAGCGCCGGCCTCTCTTCGGCAGCCATGGGAAACCTGCCAGAGGGCCGAAGGGCGCCGGCCGGTGCAGGCCAGATGTCGCTGGGAGGCAGGGGTGGGGGCTGGGCTAAGTTTCTCTGATGGGCCCGGGAGGGCATACCTAGGAAAGCAGGTTCCTGGGTTCCCGGGGGGGCCGGGCCCCTGGGGATGCGTGTTTAAAGGGTCACCCTTTCCGATCTTTGGGCTTGTTTGGGGAGCGGCAACCCCGTTGTCGTATATCCTTCAGTCACAGAGACGCGGGACACGAGACTTTATGAAACCCGCACAAACAGAGCCCAGCCTGTGGGTGGTGGTCCGAGGTTTTCAGAGTCCCCCTCCCCAGTATTGGAAGCAGGGGCTGCCCTTAGCCCGGGAGAAGTGGCCAAATGGGGCTGAACCCCCTTCGTGGAACAAAGAATTAGTGGGAGGCTTGAAGCCCCTTCCCAGACAGTGGGCCACCTGCTGTGCGCCTTCTCCCTCTTTTCCCCCCTGACTGCTAGAAGGAGCTTTTGTTTCTGAGCCAGCTTTGACGGTTCCCTCCCCTTTGCTTCAGGTCCCTGATGAAAGAGCCGGCAGGACACCTGCCTCCTGTTGAATGCCAGCTGGTGCTGGGGGGTATGCAGCCTGGTTGTGGGCCCAGAAACTGGCTGGGTGAGGCCAAGGAAAAGCAGAACCAGTGCCCCATCCTCCAGCACTTGGGGGGAGGGGGAGAGCTAGGCTTTTGCTAGCCCCTTTTCGGAAGAAGGAGGGCAGTGAGCTGGGCAGGATAGTGACTGCTCCAGGACAAGCTCAGACTCTGGTTTCCGGTTTCCAAAAAGTGCAGGGCAGCGATGGGAGCGAAACTGTGGGCTTCCAAACGTAGTATACAGAATTGGCTGGAACCTTTAACTTACTCATTGACATAGTGGCGCTGCAAAAGTGTTTCTTAGGGACACATGTGCATTCTCCTCTGCTGTCATTTACGGTGAGATCACTCCCTCGCAGGCTCTTTAGAAAACCTAAATCCTTTTAGTTCTGTACTGGGTCAGTGGGGAGGCTTCAGAGTAGGACCATGTGCCTCATTTAATTCCAAGCATGCTTGTGTGCTTGCTTGCTTTTAGATCCAAGGACCGAGGCAGGTCTCTCCGTTTCTAGTCCTTTGTTAATTTAACATCTTGGCAGCATCTGCTAGGTGTCTGGCACTGCTGGGTCCTGGCCATTCAGCTGGGAGTAAGACCCCGGCCCTCCCCTTCCAGGTGACAGCTGAGGCACCAGCCCTCACCCTGTTACTCCTGGGTTTTAGGTGGTGACATGCTGAGAAGTGCAGGATCGGTGAGGGCTGGTGGTAGGGGTGCCTGGCAGAGGCGGGGGCAGGTTGGAGGGCCTATCTGAGGAGGTGATGTCTAGCTGAGCCCTAACAGTGAAGCTGGGAGGAAGAGCAGTCCAGGCAGTGGGAACACCAGGAGCCTGTGCAGAGGCCTGTGGTAGCAGAGAGCAGTCTGCAGCTCAGGAGCTGAACCAAGGCCAGCATGGCTAGAGCATCCTCATCCCCTCCTGCCTGGGAGCATGTCAGAGCTTCAGCTGAGTGAGGCCCCGGCCCCTGAACATAGGGGTCTGGGGGTGGGGGAAAGCTCCAAAACAGGGCTGGACAGATGCAACTTCAGGTTTCCCATGGCTGCACTGAAGAGGTGAGGGCCTGAGATGGGAGAGGAGGGGGGCACGGAGTCCAGCTTCATTGCAGGTCTCTGGCCTGAGTGACCCGACAGTTGTCCCCCTTTCTCCCAGTGGTGGGAGATCTAGGGGGGATGTGATGGGGAACCATGGTATTTTTCTGGAATGTGAGTTCCTGGCCCCCTCACCACCCTCTGGAGATCCCTTCTGAACCAAGCTACTGGGGAAGAGCATGGGTAGATTTTCCTGATTGTCTTAATGCAGTGGGGGGCTGAGGAGTCAGATTAGACCTGGCCCTGAGTTCTAGTCCTGCCCCTAGGGCAGTGATGGCAAACCTATGACATGCGTGTCAGAGGTGACACGCGAACTCATTTTTTTGGTTGATTTTTCTTTGTTAAATGGCATTTAAATATATAAAATAAATATCAAAAATATAAGTCTTTGTTTTACTATGGTTGCAAATATCAAAAAATTTCTATATGTGACACGGCACCAGAGTTAAGTTAGGGTTTTTCAAAATGCTGACACGCCGAGCTCAAAAGGTTCGCCATCACTGCCCTAGGGGCACGCAGGCCTTAAATTCTTGTCTTCCTCCAAAAAGTGGTAGTAAGTGTCTCCTTTGAAGAATTGCATTGCAGGAGAGGGAGTGACCCTATGGGCCATCCCTTGGGGGCTCATCCACCCAACCCTCCATCTTGATGATTTGTCCGAACTTCACTCCCAGAGTCTGCTGAGACTGGGGGGTTATGGAGTAGAACATCTGGCTGCCCCCTGTTTTCTTTGTGAAAACAGTTTCTGCTTGACATTTTCTATCCAGGCAGGAAACTGAGGACTTGAGGGAAGTTAATTCCCTGACCTAACGAATAATTTTTTGAGAGGATTTTTCCAAAAGATCTCATTTGAAAGTAGAAGTAGACTTAGGAAAACCAGAGCAGCAGACTCATCTACTGATGAGAAGCAAAGGTATAGGGAAGGACCAGGTCTGAGGCAAGTGTCTGTCTTTTTGCATCTCTTCAGACCCCCAGGCTCCACACTGGGCACAGGCTCCCATCCCACAACCAGCTGGGCTCCCAGGTAGGCCTACTCCAGAGAAGGGCTGAGGGCTCATTTGTTTTCTCACTAAATGTCAGGGATGTCTTAATCTGTCAGTACAGATCTGCAAAACCTGTTTTGAAAATTGAGATATAATTTCACATTCCATACAATTCACCCTTTAAAAGCTTACAATTTGGCAATTTTTAGTACATTTCACAACATTGTGCAACCATCACCATTCTAGTTTCAAACATTCTCATCCCAAATCAAAGCCCTCTACCTATTAGCATCTCTCCCCATTCTCTCTCTGAGCCCCTGGCACTTGTTTTAAACAGCTTTATTGAGATAGGATATGCATACTACACAAGTCGCCCATTTAAAGTGTACAATTTTGGTATATTCAAAGATACAGCCATCACCACAGTCAATTTTAGGACATTTTCATCACCCCCAAAGGAACCCCAGTGCCCAATTTTAGGACATTTTCATCACCCCCAAAGGAACCCCAATGCCCTATTATTCCCCTATCCCCAGCCCTGAGCAACTGCTAACCTGTGCATTGTGTTTTGTTTTAAAAATATTTTTTTTCTTGATTTCAGAGAGGAAGGGAGAGAGAGAGAGAGAAACATCAATGATGAGAGAGTCATCGATTGGCTGCCTCTTGCACACCCCCCACTGGGGATCGAGTCTGCAACCTGGGCATGTGCCCTGACCGGGAATCAAACCGTGACCTGGTTCATAGGTGGATGCTCAGCCACAGAGCCACACCAGCTGGGCTCTGTGTTTTGATCTCCCTGTTCTCATTCATGTTTAAAGACAACAGCAACGGGTGGAAGTGACTGGAGGCAAAGAAATGTTGGCGAGTATTTCGAGTGGGTTCCTTCCCTCTTTGCCTTTCCATTGCCCTGGGCACATGGGCTGGGTGTTCATATCTGCCAGCACAGAGCACAATATAAAAGTGGATCTTTCAGGAGAGTCCTTAGCAGCCTTAGGCAGTAGGGCACTCTGCTAAAGCACCCTGTCCTAGCTGACGTGGCCAGGCCAAGGGAAGAAGCACAAGTTCCTGCAATAACCTTACCCAGTATGGGGTGCCAGCAGGGCTGCCTGAGCTGAGTGTGCCATAGGTTTCCTTCTGGCTGTAACGACCCATCCCGCCCTCCATTGTCCCTGGTTTGCTGTGTGCCTGGACATGTGAACAGGACTGGAGGGGGCAGGTATGCACTTGCTCAAATTGGGGGCTTATCTCCAAGGTTCCCCCATGCCCATCCGCAGTTACCCCTCCATCCTACTCTTCAACCCCTGGCACCTACAAATCTACTTATACTTGTGGATGTGCCTGTTCTGGGCATTTCACATCAATGAAATCACACTGTGTGGCCTTTTGTGTCTGGCTTCTCTCACTGAGCATCTGTCTTCGAAGGTTCATCCACATTGTAGAGTGTCGGTGCTCCCCTCCCTTTCGTGGCTGAGTAATAATAGCGCGTGGATGGGGTCATGTTGTGTCTATTCATTAGCTGGTGGACATCTAGGTTGTTCCCACTTATGCCTATTGTAAATCCTGCTGCTGTGAATGTTTGGGTTAAATTTTTTCATGGATGTATGTTTTCATTTCTCAGGGAGATACCTAGGGGTGGGAATGCTGTTTGATCCTTTGAAGAGCTGCCAGACTGTTTCCAAAGTGGCTGCACAAGTCTTCATGGCAGGACTGTTACTGCACGCTGGGTCCTGTGCTGGTCCTGTCCAGCATAGTGGTGTTGACTTTGCTGCACAGTGGCCCTGGGGGTGGGTGTTGTGTCCTCAGAGCTGAGCAGGATGCAAATCTTCACAGCCAGGTCATCACAGCTCCTGCTTTCCAGCTTTCCCAACAGGTCACGCCTGAGCAGTTGTTGGGGTCCTGGTCCCGAATCTTAACATGAGATTTTACTGGCCCCCAGGAGCCCCTAGTCCCCAATGCCATAACCACTAGAAGGAGATTGCTATCAGGGCATGTCCCTCAAATACCTGCTATCATTGGGTCTAGTCTCAAGATGTTCTGAAAATGGCAGTCGGGCTCTCAAGGCTAGGCCCCATCACTGTAGATCCGGGTGTTCATCTCTGCTCTGGGCCTGGAGTTGGGGGTGTGGGGTGGCCCGGCGCATCCTGCAGCCACTGACTCCTCTCTGGCCGCAGCCCAAGTGGGAAGAAGTTCCGCAGCAAGCCACAGCTGGCACGGTACCTGGGCGGCTCCATGGACCTGGGGGCCTTCGACTTCCGGACGGGCAAGATGCTGATGAGCAAGATGAACAAGAGCCGGCAACGGGTGCGCTATGACTCCTCCAACCAGGTCAAGGTGAGCCACCCTGCCCTGCTCCACCCCATCACAATGGAGTGGCCAGGGGTGGGGGGTGGGGGGCGGCGATTCACCATTTCAGACCCACTGTGGTGGGGGAAAGAGCTGATACTGAAATGGAGTTTACTTCTGGTGTTGAAGTAACTATTTGCTGAGGGAAATTTGGAGACCACAGAAAAGGAGAAAAAAGGAATCGTGATTCTGTCCCTTGAGAGGTCTCTGGCTGCTTCTGGTGCTTGTTGCACTTTCCTTCCCTGAACAGTGTCTTCAACAGCTGACAGTCCACATGGGTACCCAGTGACCCTGTGTGTGTCCCCAGTCTGATGGACACATGTTCAGTGGGACTTTGAACCTATCCCTGCCCTGGCTGCTAGCCAGCTATCCAGGGTGCCCCCAGGCTAGTACTTCACAGAGAATGAAGCACAGGAGGCAAGGACAGGGCCAGTGTGTGTCCTGAGCCCCACTGAGGGCAACAAATAGGCAGGGACTGGACTTGGCATCTCCTGCAGGTCTCTGGGTGCCACAGGGTGTGCCAGTGACGGGGAGAACACAGGAGTCAGGCTTCTGGAGAGTCATGAGTGGCCTTGTTCCTGTCTCCACAGGGCAAACCTGATCTGAACACAGCCCTCCCTGTCAGGCAGACAGCATCCATCTTCAAGCAGCCAGTGACCAAGATCACCAACCATCCCAGCAACAAGGTGAAGAGTGACCCCCAGAAGGCTGTGGAGCAGCCCCGGCAGGTGAGCACATACCCTGCACGCACCCTGGCCAGGTCAGGCCCAGCCCTGAATCTACTGTTCCCTCCAAGCTGGGTCCTCTCTTTTTGAAAAAAATAACAGGCTTAATTCAGTTTCTTTTTCTTTTCTTTTTTATTGATTGATTGATTTTAGAGAGAGAAACATCGATTTGTTGTTGCACTTATTTTATGCATTCATTGGTTGATTGTTTTATGTGCCCTGACCAGGGATCTAACCCACAACCTTGACTTATCAGGACAATGCTCTAATCAACTGAGCTACTCAGCCAGGGTATCAATTTATTTTTCTTTCCTTTCTTTTGGTAATATGTTTTAATTGATTTTAATTTTTAATTTTTAAAATATATTTTTATTGATATCAGAGAGGAAGGGAGAGGGAGGGAGATAGAAACATCAGTGATGAGAGAGAATCACCAATCGGGTGCCTCCTGCACACCCCCTACTAGGGATCGAGCCCACAACCCAGGCATGTGCCCTTGACCAGAATCGAACCCAGGACCCTTCAGTCCATAGGCTGACACTCTATTCACTGAGCCAAACCAGCTAGGGCTATTTTAATTGATTTTAGAGAGAGAGAAAGGAAGAGGGATAGAGAGATAGAAACATTGATCAGTGCTTCCTGCATGCCCCCTACTGGGGATTGAGCCTGCAAACCAGACTGCCCTGACCTGGAATCGAACCAGCGACCTCTTGGTTCATGGGTCAGCGCTCAGGCGTTGAGTCACACCAGCTGGGCTCAATTTATTTTTCTTGCATAAAATTATGTGGTGGCCACAGCTGGAGCCTAGGTCCTCTGCACAGAAACTCTGGTGGGAGTCTTTACAAGATGGTCAGTGACAGGGAGACTTGGTGAACACAGTCTCTTTCCAAAGGCCAGGGGTGAGATAGCTGTAGGTCTTAGAGAGAGCATCAAAGGTGGCTTTGGCAAAGTTGCCCAGGGTGACAGTGCAGCCCCTGGCCAAGGTGTAGCAGTCGTCGATACTGGCCATCAGCAGCAGCTTCTTGGGAATAGGGGCTGAGACTGTGCCAGTGCCCCTGGGGATAGGACTGAGGCACACCAGCACAGAACTACAGTAGCTAGTCATCTTGCAGGGGACAGTGTGGGGCTCGCTGATCTTGTTACCCCAGTAGCCTCACCACAGGGATAATAGAGAGCTTGGCTAGAGTGATGGCCCCACGGATGGCAGTGGCTACTTCCTTTGAACACCAACACCCAGACCAACAGGTCCATTGTAGTCCCCAATGGTGACAAATGCCTTGAACTAGGTCGTCTGGCCAGCGGGTGTCTGCTTTTACACGGGCATAATCTTCAAAACCTTGTCCTTGAAGGATACCCCCAGGAAAAATTCAATGATCCCAATTCCTTGACTTGATCTTCGTGTACTTGACCAGGTTGCCCAGCTTGGTGACTGGGTCTATTCCTTGTCCTTGGCCTTGCTTTTTCGAGCTCTGCGGCCTTCACCCTGACCCTCCCCCAGCCTCGACCTCAGCCCTAGATGCCACTGCCAGATCCTCCATGAAAGCCTCCCATTCTAGGGCCCCAAGACCTCCAGGCCCTCCTGCAGCACCAGCATCATCCACCATTTGGTGTTTTCCTCAGAGAAGATGCTCAGTCCACTCTTCAGAGCCTACATTTGTTGGGTCCCTCAGCCCAAGTGCAGTCCGGAACAGTCAACCCAGAACCTAGTTCTGTGGGGAGCAAAGCCCCCACCCTGGCCCCACCCACCTTGCAGAGGGCTGCTGGGGCACTTGGGGCTTTTTCTGGCCAATGTTTTATTTTTTAAAATATTTTTATTGATTTCAGAGAGGAAGGGAGAGGGAGAGAGAGATAAAAACCTCAATGATGAGGAAAAATCATTGATCGGCTGCCTTCTGCACGCCCCACATTGGGGATCAAGTCCACAACCCAGGCATATGCCCCGACTGGGAATTGAATTGTGACCTCCTGGTTCATAGGTTGACCCTCAACCATTGAGCTATGCCCGCTGGGCTGGCCAATGTTTTCTTGAATAAATGGTTAAGTTTTGTGGGGGAAGGGGGTTTAAATAAGATCATACATAATGGATGTATAACCTGCTTTTCAAAAACTGAGAATTGCCGGTGTTTTCATACATATTTACAAACATCCACACACTGTATGGTAGGGTGTGTGGGACAGTCTTTTGGGAACATCACCCCACATCTAACATCCTGGGTCTTTGTCCTGCCAAAAACTGGAGTTGGCGTTTCTCTGCTCTGGGAAGATGGGCCTGGGTGTGGATCCCGCTGGGGCCATGGCACCCTCATTTCTCAAGCTGGGATGTCAGCAACCCAGCTAAGGTAGGGGTTAGAGGTCATGCTGAGACCAACCACTGCACTACATGTGGACGGGCTTTAGCCATCATCGGACTGCTATGGTTCACCTGTGCATGGGGGTGCCTTGCTGTCTTACTGGCCTCACATCTGTCTGTCCGGCGGTAGCTCTTCTGGGAGAAGAAGCTGAGTGGCCTGAACGCCTTTGATATTGCTGAAGAGCTTGTGAAGACCATGGACCTCCCTAAAGGTCTGCAAGGTAAACCCAGACCCCAGGACGGGTAAGGGGAAGTTAGGAAGGGGGCCAGGCCTGCAGGAGAAAGGAAGGGACCCTCCAACCTCTAGCTTTGGATCAGTGGGGCAGACACCTGATATCTGGTCCTGGAGACAGCTACCCAGAGCAGAACACATCGGGGGGGAGGTGGCGAGGTTGGGGGGAGGCACTGGACCAGCAAGATGCATCTGTCCTGGAGGGTCCTGGAAAAATTTGGGGTGTGATTTTGCTCCTTCACCATAAACACAACCATCCATCCCTGAGCATGTAGAGTTCCTTTTCTGACGTGAGAGCAACTGCCTGCCCATAAGGGAGGTTTGGGAACAACATCCGAGGTTGAGGGACAAAGGCCAGTGCCTGGTGGTGACTGTACCTCCTGCGCCCCTGCAGGAGTGGGACCCGGCTGCACAGATGAGACCCTGCTCTCGGCCATAGCCAGCGCCTTGCACACCAGCACCATGCCCATCACTGGCCAGCTCTCAGCTGCCGTGGAGAAGAACCCTGGAGTATGGCTCAACACAGCCCAGCCCCTCTGCAAGGCTTTCATGGTGACTGATGAGGACATCAGGTAGCTGCTCTCCCACCTCACCCTCTCTGTGGCTCCTGGCCGGTGTGTCTTCGAGCCTTCAGGGGTATGAGGCCTTTGAGGGTCCTGCCTGAGGGGTGGGATACTAGCTGTGGCACAGAGGAGGAGGCTCTAGAGAGTGGCAGGAAGTGGGCACATGACAGGAACAGGAAGTACTGAGTGAGAGGTGAAGATAAACACATCCTAGGGCTTTAGTGTGGGCCTGAGTTGGTAGTGCCCAGGTGCAGGTGGACTCGGAGTGAGAGCCGTTCCTTTGCTGGAACCTTTTGGGAAGACCTGGTAAGGAGGTGGTTTGAACTGGCACTGAGCAGGAAACATGTCAAAATGCTGAAAGGATAAATACTCATCCTTTAAAACCTTAAATGTCAGTGCAAAACTTAAAATGTTTTGTGAGGTCTGCCCTAGCTGGTTTGGCTCAGTGGATAGAGAGTTGGCCTGTGGACCAAAGAGTCCTGGGTTCGATTCCAGTCAAAGGCACATACCTTGGTTGCAGGCTCCTCCCTGGCCTGGGCCCTGGTGGGGCCGTGTGTAGGAGTAACCAGATGATGTGTTTCTCTCACATCAGTGTTTCTCTGTCTTTCCCTCTCTCTTCCACTCTCCCTAAAAATCAATGGAAAAATATCCCCAAGTGAGGATTAACAACAACAACAAAAAGTTTCGTGAGGTCAAGGGAAGTTAAGAAATTTAGGGATCCCCCTCCCCCCACAAAAAAAGGACTGGAAACCAGAGCAGGCATGACCTGATTGGTGTATGTGCTGGGTTGTGGGTTTGTGGGCTTCCTGTCTCGGGAATTGGGGGTTCAAAGCTTCGTGGATATAAGAGAAGCCCCTATAAGGTGAGGACATGGAACTAAGATACCACACCACCCCCAAGTCTCCCATGCCAGAGAGTCTGCCCAAGAGAAAGGGCAAGAGAGGGAATTGAAAGTATAAAAAAAGTAACTCCAGAAAGACTGGAAGGATTTTTAAAGCTAAGCAGAACTACAATTAGAAGTCACTAAAATGAAAAATTTAAGTCATGGGTTAGGCAGTGGATTTGGTCCTGTCTGGAGAGGCGAGTAGCCAGCTGTGCAGAGAAGACAGTGGTAAGGAGAGAAAGGACACCCCCACACAGGACAGGGACAGGGCCAACATTTATTAGACCTGGCAACAGACACAAACGTTAGATTCATGTTATAGTGAAAATGTAGAATTTGAGACGAGATGGATTTTAAAAGCCACAGGGAGGGGAAGCAGATGGACAAGTAGACCAGGCTCCAGCCGCTTTTTTTGCCAAAAGACAGAAAGCCAGCCCTAGCCAGTTTGGCTCAGTGTATAGAGCGTCGGCCTGTGGACTCAAGGGTCCCGGGTTCGATTCCAGTCAAGAGCACATGCCCGGATTGCAAGCTCTGTCCCCACTAGGGGGCGTGCAGGAGGCAGCCAATCAATGATTCCCCCTCATCATTGATGTTTCTATCTCTCTTCCTCTCCCTTCCTCTCTGAAATCAATAAATATATATTAAAAATTTTTAAAAAGACAGCCATTTCCCACCTAGAATTCTCTACCTGCAAACTGTCATCCACAAGACAGGTGACACTGGCTAGGCAGTGGACTGGACACTCAGTGGTCTTTTTTCCCTTTGCAAACCCCACTCAAGTGCTAGCGAAAGAGCTTACACATGTGCACTAGACCAGAAGAGCCAAGCAGACAGGTGACCACCTATTCTGGGAGGAGGAGAGCCATCAGGCAGACCAGAACGACCAGAACTGATTGGGGTAGTGCCTATCAGGAGGTGGGGAGACAGGGTGGTGGAAAGAGGGAGTGAGGAGGCCAGTGGAATAGGAAGAGTGAGCACTCAAGAGCCCCTGGGTCTACCATCTGGAAGGCTGAGTCAGAGCTACTTGCTCAAGAAGGGAGTGTGAGCCACAGGCCAGGGCTGGAGGACCCTCGGGCCCCAAAAATCAGTAGCCCATGTATGTCTATGCATCCCATCCTCCTGGCCTCGCACCCGGTCTTCCCGGAGATAGGGACATTCCCTGTCAGCACTCCATGTGTCTCCAGGAAGCAGGAGGAACTGGTACAGCAGGTTCGCAAACGGCTGGAAGAGGCGCTGATGGCTGACATGCTGGCCCATGTGGAGGAGCTGGCCCGGGATGGTGAGGCGCCGTTGGACAAGCCAGGTGCGGAAGAGGAGGTAGAAGATGAAGAGGATGAGGAGGAGGAGCCTGACCAAGACCAGGAAATGGAGCACATGTAGAGCAGGTGTAGGTGGACCCCAGGCTACAGCATGTGCTTGGGTAGTGACCACAGGGGGAAGAGACAATCCAAGAGTTCTTGGACCTGTTCCACGCTGGGTATTGGCTGTGCTCGGAGAGCACCTGTCTCCCTGGAGGAGCCCAGGGTGGCCTGGCCCTCCCTGTCCTTCCAGAGGCCCTGCCCGAGCCATGCCTGTGTGGGGCACTTACAGACTCAGCCCTTGCCCTAATGGGACCAGGCTTGGGGGGAAGGTGGCCCTCCTCCCTTCCCAGGCATGTCCACTCCCCCGGCCACTAGGACACCTAGGGTCATGGCTGGAGGATGGTCCCTGGCCCTGCAAACCCCCACGTTTGCTCTTCTTTGAAGGGCCAGACTTCTGAAAGTGCTGGTTGCTCCTGGACCCTGCCTGCAGGGGTATGGCTCCTGGATGCAACTGGGCTTCTGGACTCACTGTCGCCATCCTGAGCTCAGAAAAGGGTTTTTGAAACAGGCTTACCTCCCGATCTTGAGTGTGAGGGACAATCCTCTGGGCCAGACTGTCAGCCCTCCCAGAAAGGGTTGCAGGGTGGTTCCCCGAGTGACCATCCAGCTGAGCAAAGCCGTGACACTTGAGTATGTCTGAAAGAAAGCGGCACAGCCCAGACGTTTTCCTTCAATAAATCGGTGGTACAAACGAGGCTGGACGTCCTGTAACTTCTTTACCTTTTGTGTTTGCTGGACAAGGATGTGAAATCTGGACTTCATCTGAAAACCTCACTGTCTGTGGCCTGGTGGGTCCTGCCTAGGGGTCAGCCACCAGCATCTGAGGAGGACTGCTCATAGCCAGGAGCACAGTGGGGCTGACCTATGTGCCTCAGTTTTTCCTTGTATAACAGGTACAGTTAATACCCAACACTCTGGGCTGTGAGCTGTCATGTGGCCTGGCTGGAGCTGCCACGGGCCCAGGCTCCTGTGTGTTCCTATCTAGAGGTGTGTTTCATGGCCAAGCATTTCTAAGTGCCACACCCAGAATAGTGGTCTCCGAGAAGCACTGGGGCGAAGATCATCAGAATCTTGTTACTTCACTCATCCCCTACAGCCCTAGTGCCTTGGGATTGATCCTTGGTTGGGGTGTGAAGGGAGGCAATATTGGTTTCTCTCTCTGCCCTAACCAACAGCTTGTGACGGCAAGGATCCTAATTGCTGAGTCATTTGGCCAGACACCCGGGGCAGTGTAGGTATAGGCATGTAGGTCAGGGGTGCGGGGTGACATGGGAGCCCCTCAGAGCTGTGAGCGGTTGCTGCCATCTTGATCTTCCAAGGATGCTGGTGCAGTCAAACTGACCACATCCTTCCAAGTCAAGTTAAAAAATCCTGAGAACCAAGAAGGCTGCCCTGTACAGGTCCCAGTGCCTGTTGGGAGGGCCTGAGGTCCCTTGGCCATGAGTCCTCTGTCCCTCAGGTCTGAGTAGAGGGGCTGCAGGGAGGTTACTGTGGGTGACAGACAACAGAATAAAGCCATCTTGGGCGAGCATGGTTGGAGCCTGGGTTCACTCTGAAGAATGGTGTTTGTTTCTGAGCAATACGGGCCTCATCTGGGCCCGCCAGGCCTGCATCCTGCGGATCATCAATTCTGGGCTGGGTGATAACGGAATCAGGAGGGGCCGGCCTGTCCCAGAGGATGGCAGATTTCCCCACAGACTCCAAGGTGGGAAGCCTTCTGACAGTCCCAGCACTGTTAGCATAAAGCCAGATGTGGAGGCTTCCAGAAGATTTTGGACTCCCGCACCTACTGGTTGAAGTCCCCAAGACTCCCTTGGAGCACCTGGAGCTCCCAGTGTGGGTGTGTGTGTGTGTGGGGGGGGGGTCTTCAGGGCTGGGCACACAGGGACATGGCTGAGTCTGGCCTTGGGGACCTGAATTGGACCTTCTGCCCCTGTCAGCTCACAAGGCTGGTGCAAGAGCTGGGAGAACCCTGATCCACCTGCCTGCCCCCCAGGTCAGGCTTAGTGGCCTGGACCCCCACATGGAGTTTCTGTTCATCTTTTTGTCTCCCCTGCCCCTTCCCCACTCTGAGTGTCCCCTCCGCATGCATTGTCTACTCTGCAGACAGCCCTGCCCACCCACCGGGACTGGTTCCAGCTTCCAGAGGGAAAACTTGAGGCTCAAGTTAGCAACTTGCCTAGGGGCACCGTTCGGAAGAACTTGGGTCTTCATGACTCCAACACGGTGTTTGTGCCCAGCCTCTGGCCACTGAGAGGCCCTGAGCAGCCACTGACCTCAAAAGGACAAGAGCCTGGGTCCCTGAAAGGACTCAGTGGTTCTGTGTGAGAATGGGATGCCCCAGTCCCATCATAAGAGCCTTTCCTGACACTTTCCAAGCTTGAGGGTCTCACCTGAATTCTTTTTTCTCCCCAGCGAGACTCCCAGAGACAAGGGCGCCAGGGTTTCTGAGCCAACGGTTTAGGGCAGGGGTGGGCAAACTTTTTGACTCGAGGGCCACAATGGGTTCTTAAACTGAACTGGAGGGCCGGAACAAAAGCATGGATGGAGTGTTTGTGTGAACTAATATAAATTCAAAGTAAACATCATTACATAAAAGGGTA